ATCAACGTCTTACTTTAGAAAGCTGGTTTACTAACTTAAAACAAACGCCACTGAATCGTAGCCAACAGTTACCAGCGCCGTACAAACTACTTATTGACGAGATCAAGCAAAACTAACTGCGAGAGAACGACTGGAGAAATGACAATTTGACTAACAACAGACAACTGTTTAACTGTGACAATAGACGGATCGAAACGCACAAATTACTGATTACGAGTCTTCATAGCCAATAACATCACGGCTTAACTGGCAGACGACCAATAACATCGCGACGTAATCAATCAGATCAATAACCAGAGTATATCACCAACTGACGTGATACAACTCACTTTGACTCTGAAAATGACTTAACCGCACAGGTTGTTGAAACGTCAGTTACTGTCAACAACAACAGTCGTATTCAGGACTACTTTCACCCGGACGATCAAACTCAACCTATTTTTATATTATGACTCTTAAGGAGCAGGCATGTATGATTTTGTTACACTTATTTTATGATTGCCTGAAGGCAAAAGGTCTCCATGCGTAAGGCATTGCTCCAGGGTGGAAAAATCTCTTCGGACCTTGTCTTTTCCACTTAACTGTAAAGCTAAAGGTCTGGTACAGTGTACGGGCGTTTAAAAGGAAGAATTATCGGTAGGCCCTTTTTTACGAAAAATAATAGCGATGGTTACTACAACTATTCGGGGATATAAAAATACAACTTCGATTTTTTTAAAACTATCAAATACAAACAAAGTCGGCATAGAAGGACAGCGTTAATATTATCTTTGCTATTAATTGATTTAAAGATTCACCGTATTCACCTAAGTCATCATACATTGCTGTCGTGGCAATCGACTTTGGCACCAGCTACAGTCGATTTGCCTTTTCATTCGTCGAAGACCATGGACCGAGTGGAATATTCATTAGCAAACGATGGGTAAATGAAGTCGGTCTTTCTACAAAGACACCCACCTGCTTGCTCCTTAAGCCAGACCTTTCATTTGATTCTTTTGGATATGAAGCAGTAGAGAAGTATGAACGTCTTCAAGAAGAATCAAGTGAACACGCATATTACTTTTTAAAGCATTTTATGATGAATCTTCACAACGACCAGGTGAGGTACGGTTGTAGTTGTGCATGCTTAGATAACTTAGGGATTCGGTTATGTTGGGACATATTTGATAAACTGCTTTTACAACTGAGATGATCATATTCTCATTCTATGTTTAATTCTTTTCCTTCAATCACGGGGTAAAATGGACTCAACCAATTGTTCTGTTCCCAATGTATGGATGTTCATGGCCCAGTTGATTGGACACTGCATTGCCAACGCAGAGACCGGGGGCCTGTTTCTCGAAAGTCCCGGAAATCTGCTTTCTGTTTGCCCCGTTTACATTCAAGATCAAAGTTCAATAATTTTGAAAATATTAAAACGAAACTATCAGTTAACGAAGCAAAATTGACTGAACTGTGCTACTGTTCAACAGGTTTTGATTTTAAAATTGGCCTTCGGGCCCGAAAAGTTTACGGGCCTTTCGAGAAAGGGGCCCTAGAGTTCGAAGCTCGTTGAAGCACCAAAACTATTTCCGGGTAATTTGCAATTGCTTAAATTGCCATCACAAGTGCGACGATATTTCTACATAGTACCAATCACTGTAAGTGCATGAGTTGTAGGGGACCTTAGGTTTTTTGCGAAACACGATTGAACTTATTATTCAGTATTTGTTATTTGGTGGCAGATAGTGTTTTTTTTAAAATAAAGGCGAGATGAGTTACCATTTGATAGAATAGACCTCTTTAGCTTGTTTGTTTCGTTTTTCTACAGTAGATCTTAAGGAAATTCACCTTTATCTTCTGCTAGATTAGGCGACATCTACACAAGGATGAGAAGATGTTTGAAAGAAACAGTTCTCTCACATAAGCTACACCCCTACATTGGGGAATCGAGTCATACAAGTGGAGGTCTAAGCATTTGAAGCCTTAATAGTCTGCTTCATTTCATCACTTGCCATTTCTTTACAATTTCAGTTGTTTATCGCTACATTTTGAAGACTTGACCAACCGCTTGATTTCATCATTTACCATTTCTTTACAATTTCAATGTTTTTATTCCTAGACTATCAGTACGGAAATAACTATAAAAGCGGCGAATGGAAAAAGCGTCAGAGCCTTGATGGTGTTTTCTCACTCAATTAAGTTTCTGAAGGATGAAGCTCTTAAGGTGATTTATGAACTGACTGGAGATGAAGACCTCAAGGTAAAAGACATCCAGTGGGTGCTAACTGTTCCAGCTATATTTACCCCGGTGGCAAAACAATTCATCAGAAAGGCTGCTATGAGGTTAGGCTTTAGTGATTGTTTGTCTCTTTGTGTAGTCATGTTGCTTGATTTTGTTGATGGATATGTACAGATCGACTAAAAAAGATTACTACTTTTGTTAGAAGGAGCGCTATATATATATATACATATATATGCGTTTTTGACCAAGCGAGAGGTCAAGATGGCTGAATATTGGCCGTCCGTAGAAAACGCAAAAAAAAGAACGAGGCCAATGTTAATCCGCCTTGCCACAACAAGTTTGGTCAATAAAGGATTTACTATATAGGTAAAACAATAATAACTTTTACTTGCGGGAACCAACGTGGGAAATCCTGATCCTGAGTCAGGGCACGATGGGTCCATCTTGTCCGCTTGGGTAGTCAATCAGAATGCAGGATTCGCTTCATACTGCCAGCTGGTGGATTCAGCCATATAAAAATATGGGATATGTCACTGCCGTGGACCTGATATATTATTCAGAGGGAACACCCTGATTTTTTTTAAAATTCTGATCTATACAAGTTAGGTTTAAAAACTAGGCATTTTAATGCTTTAAGTCTAGAGTAGGTTATCATGATCTATCATTTCGTCCTAGTTAACTTCATGTTTGTTCAAAACAAAGAATAGGAAAACTACAGTCTCAGACAAAAATAGTTGAGACACTTTAACCAAACGCTGTTTTTTTTCCTTTTCGTGCTCTCCTCGTCCCTCTCAAAGTTGTACCGACATTGAGGGGACAAGAAGACCCCAAAGTGTTCCAACCATTTTGACTGAGACTGTGTTTTAGAGGAATTTTAGGTATGTGACTCTTTGTTGGCTCTTGTGGCGGGAAATCGCTAGGCAGGTATATACACGTTTCAGAGACATGTTTTCGGAAAAAACATTAGAGTTTTCACGGATAGAAAGAGAGAAGACAATCAATAGAGGAAAGAAGTCTTTGTTTCTTTAATTACAGCATTCCAAGGTATTAAAAAAAGCTTTGTACGTATTGGGTTTAAAGAGTGAACTACGGATGAGTCAAAACTCCGCGCGATATTTCGCAGGCTGTGTATCTTGCCGCTTATATATTGTACCGGTGGAGACACGATTGGACGGGTCACCATAACGAGTCACCATACTATCCAGGGCGTTTTCTAAGACCTCTCTGGTATATATAATGGATTAAGAAAGAAAAGGATAAGGTTCTTTCACACCTAATTGAAATAGTTAAGGTTTATAGCGCCTTTATACATGTAAGACAAGTTATTAAGACTTTGATCATGGTGACACGATTGTTCGCTGAAAGAAACTTATAAATATCTTAATTGAATTCATGTACGGTGACCCATGTACACGTCGAGTATAACGCTCTTTTTTTTTTAGGTTTTAAGGATAGGTATTGTCCTCGTTTGATATGATTCATGTTTTGTACCTCAATTCCCACATTTTGTTTTAGAGCTATTCAGGAAGGTTGATATTTGGGGTAAAGAATGAAAACCGATGTCACCATTTGGCGCAAGGCCAAATTAACATACGTTGTAAACAACTTATAAAAAGTTGTCCATTTTACAGCAGTAGCCTGGAATATCATTAAGAAACTTTTTGGCGTCGGAGCAAACCGTTACACTATTGTAGGACACCCTTTCTACGAGCTCGTAGTCAATAGTATCTCTACAAATTTAGAAAGCGGGATACTGTTCTCGCTGACACGTCTTGGGAATAATCCTGGCTTGTTGCATTTTCCTCCAAACTGGAGGAAAAGTTTGCCCCTTTCTCTCGAAATCGCGTAATCGCTCTTTCAGCTGTCTTTCGCCTCTTGCCCTTAACTTAGAAAGGCGTCCCTTTGGGCCTTGTTCCTACACTCGTTCTTGGCGAAGAGGCCTTCTCTATTATTCTCCACACATTTTCTCTAGAAATGTGGCACATTCGAGCGACTCTCCGTATAGGAAAACCCTCAATCTTACACACATAGTATGCACGTGCTATATTGTCACGCTATTAATCGGCCACTTGAAAGCTATTTGTGTACGGTTTAGTGCACACTCAGTTCCTTTTATTTTCCAATACTCTACTCTAACCAAGAAAGTTCTGCGAAGACCAGTAAGAAACACAATACAACAATACGGGTTTATTGAATCAAGTGACGATATCTTTGCAAGCGCTTTGTGTTACCTGCGGGTTGTTTGGTTTTCGGGCAGCGAACACTGGCTGGATGTCTAATTGCTCCTGTCAACACGCCTTCAAATTCCTCCCCGACACAGACTCAGACAAAAATAGTTGGGACTCTTTAACCAAACGCTGTTTTTTTCCTTCTCGTGCTCCCCTCGTCCCTCTCAAAGTTGTTCATGGCGGTTCGGTCACCAAATCTTGCACACCAACATTGAGGGGACAAGAAGACCCCAAAAAGTCCCAACCATTTTGACTGAGACTGTAGCTCGTCTCATGTAGTTTTTGACTTCATATCTCGCAACGATAACTGAAGAGAGGAGGTTCTGGCTCAAGAAATACCTTTAGGGTGTAGTGTCCACACCCCAAATCCACCCCCAGGCGCCTCCCCCAAGAAATGACAGAAGCGTTTGTCCTTACTGCAACTGTAGCCTTTATTTTTGATCTGTTTTATGATCACTCAGGCCGGCTTGGGATCCCCTACTAATCCAGAACAAATAGTGATAGCTCTTGAACCAGAAGCTGCGTTACTTTCCTGTCTGGAGAAAAGCATGAGCGACTTCCGGTCTGAGGCTGGTAGTGGGTCTGAAAAAGGATTGCTGACACAAAATACTCATTACATGGTCGTTAGAATCGGAGGTGAGTTCATATGATCATGATGTTAAGGGTCATAAAATGAGGTCTCTTGTCTTAACAAGAAATCTCCCTACGCTTAAATTGTTTTTAACGGATCTTAATTTGAATTGAAGTAGTGCGAGCATGATGCCATTTATCAATATACTATAATCAGACATCACTGATGAAATTTAGCCGTACATTTTGTATCATAATAGCATTTGGAATACGCTTTAGAGTGTTTTCAGTAAAGAATATCGCTGGTACATGAGCCTTCGTTTTATACCACAATGCCCTGCTGATCCCTGCTCCTACAGGAGGAGCCTGATTTACTCCCATCCCTTTAATTTCATTTAAGGTGTCCCGAACCTATTTATATGCGCGTTGGTTATGTTTTTGAATCGTTTTTTTCGGCAGGAATGATTTAACCGATTTCTATGATTTTTGGCATCAATAAAAAAATGGTCGAACTTAAAGAAACTGTTGTTTATTTTGTTGTAGGTATAAAAACGTTTGAGATATCGGCATCTGTTTAAAACCACCTTTTTACAAAAAATGTCAAGAACTTGGAAACCCTAAGACAGATTTTTCTCTAACTTGAGTAAATAAGCCTCAGAGCTCTCTAGTTTTATATCTGCAAGTTTCAAGTCATTCGTGACCGTAGAACTCGCTGAACAAATAGTATAGCTGGTCAAATTTAACCTTTTAGAAAAATGCAACGCTAACATATTACTGAAATTTGAGGCTCAAATAGAGAAAAACTGTCTGCAAGGGTATTCTTAGCCAAAGCTTTATTGTTGCAAGAAACTGATGAGTAATCTTAATCGCACGGCGAATACAGTTCGCAATACAAGAAGAACAATTTTATGCTGAATGCGGGGCAAGATTAAAGAACATCTATTTATCAAAGTTACTGTGTATTTTCCCTTCTCTTTTCAAAAAAAATCTCAACAAAGCAAGATATAGCATCTACGGAAATCTCCTACCAGTTTTTAGCACCGAAGGTTCCCGTCTTGAGGAGAAATAAAGCCACCAACTCCAGTTCCTCAACCGATCTATTTTCAGCTGCAAAGAAAACCCTTGTATTAGGTAATTTATTCAAGCTTGTTAGATTTGCCATCATATTCGCAAGGGCAGTTTGCCATTGGGAATAATGAAAAGAATAAGACGATTGTCATATTTTCTTCACCCAAGTGGCAAACTTCCCGTGCGAATGTGATGTCAAGCCTGGAAACCTTGAATAAATTACCAAGTACAAGGGCTTTCAGTGCAGCTGAAAAATAGACGGTTAGAAGTACTGGAGTTGGTGGCTTTATTTCTCCTCAAAACGGGAACCTGCGACGCTAAAAACTGCTAAATTTTGCCTTGTTAAAATAGGTTTCGAAAAAAGAGGGACCAATACAAAGTAAGTTTGGTGAATGGAATTTCTGAAATCTTGCTCCGCATTCAGCATAAAGTTGTTCTTCTTGTATTGCGAACTGTATTCGCCGTAGGTTTCTGATTATTCAGTTTCTTGCAATAAAGCTTTGGGTAAGAATACCCTTGCAGATAAGAGATAGTCCGTCGGTAGTTTTTCTCTATTTGTGCGTCAAATTTCACAAATGTGTTACCGCTGCATTTTAAGGTTAAATTTGATCAGCTATTTGTGCAGCGAGTTCTACGGTCACGATTGACTTCAAACTTGCAGATATAAAACTAGAGAGCTCTGAGGCTTATTTCCTCCAGTTAGAGAAAAATCTGTGTTAGGGTTTCCAAGTTATTGACATTTTTTGTAAAAAGGTGGTTTTAAACAGATGCCGATATCTCAAACGTTTTTATACCTATAAGAAAACAAATAACCGTTTCTTAAAGTTCGACCATTCTTTTTTTAAGGATGCCAAAAATCATAGAAATCGGTTAAATCATTCCTGCCGAAAAACCCGATTCAAAAACATAACCACCGCGCATATAAATAGGTTCTGGCCACCTTAATACTCTGCCGAATGTATTGAGATGCATGGTAAAGGACAAATGTTTGAGATGTTTATGAAACTTCGTTATGGTAGCCTTTTGGTGAATTATACTCTTAAGTATAAACTTTTATTGTATACATACTGAGAAATACTCACCAAAAAGCTATGTCGTAAATTTTCGTACGCAAATTAGTTCTAGCCAATCAGAGGAACAAACGATGGTTTTCACACGTGAAAAAAATGATACGTCCAATCAGAATCGCGAACGATGTTTTTTTTTTACGTGTGAGAAAAATGATACGTCCAATCAGAAGCCACGGAGGTGTGTGAGTTTCGCGCCAAAAATCCCGCCTTTTATTGCAGCTTGCAGCGCCGCTTCGCATATATTCAACGAGAAAAGTCTTACTCAAAGAGTTTTTCTCGCTAAAAAATGTGAAAAACATTTCGGAAATGGAGTGGAATAGTTCCGTTTGTTACACTGTCGATAAAGAAAACGGTAGAGAGCCGGCGAAACAACAGCGGAAAGGGATAAACAGAACGAGACGTAAGCTCTTGTTGTGCTTTTTGTCGGAGCTACTTTGCCTTTCATTCAAGCTTAAGCTTATATTGAAACCGGCCATTTTACTTAAATTCACTCATTTTCAATTGTGCATTGAGAACAAACAGTTAAGATTACTTGTAGTTCTTGGATTACCTCATATCCTCACCGTCATTTATGTTTTTAACAAACGTTTTTACTAAAAAGCTGATACTTCGTTTTCGTTGTCATTTTGCGGTAAGTGTGTAGCGGTAAGTTTTAGTATTTTTGAAAGATTTAAAATAAGAAGGCCGCCAAAATGATGAATGTCTCAGTATGTATGTAATAAACACAATACCACATGGAAAGTGCTTTGTACGGTATTTACGCACTCGTTGTTCTTGTATCAGAAATCTTACTCGTTCGCTGCGCTCACTCGTTCGATTTCTGATACGTCAACAACTCGTGCGTAAATACCGTACGCCAGCACTTTCCATGAAGTATTCTCTATATATGCTTACGTTTTCCTGCAAAAGGAATGGTAAAATAACTATCGATCTTTTCAAATTTTGAATCACGCGATCATTATTTTTCTCTTCCTTTTTATTTTTTTTTTTCTATGCTATTCAGGGAGTACCCTTGACGTTACAGTACACGAGATACAGATGAACGGTTCTATGAAAGAAATCCTCAAAGTTACAGGAGGTCCATATGGCGGTATTAAAGTGAATCAGCAATTTGAGAACCTTCTGGATGAGCTGTTTGGAGTCGAGAATGTTCGAAGTTATCGTCAGAAGTTTTGCTCCGATTGGTTATCCTTAACGAAAGAGTTTAAAGCCAAAAAACGAAGTGACCGAATCTTAGAAGAAACATTGATGACAAATATTCGACTACCATGCAGTTTTGTGCATCAGTTGAGCAGGAAACAGACCCCAGCCATGAATGCCTATACGAAAAAAGGCGAGGTAAAGTTGATGAACGACGAATACCTCTCCCTTAGTTCAGGAATGATGAAGAAACTGTTCAAACCCACCATTGATCGCATCAAGGACCATTTGAAAGGCTTGCTGCAAAACCCTGAGCTCTTTAAAGTAAATACCATGCTACTGGTTGGCGGTTTTGCTGATTCTACCCTTCTCCAACAGGAAATCAAAAAAGCTTTTTCGAGGCAAGTCAGAGTGCTCGTTCCAGACAATGCCAGCGCAGCGGTCGTTAAGGGTGCCCTGTTATTTGGAAAGCAACCTGGAAAAATTACAGAAAGAGTGGTTTCCACGACTTAGGGCGCTGGTTGTTCGCGGAATTTTATTTATGGTGTGCATCCGGAGAAGAAGAAATTCATTGCAGATTGCGTCGAGAAGTGTAAATAACAGATCGTTACCAAGCTCTTCGCGCCAACGACAAAGAAATAACCTTTAACCTTTATTCTGCCAGCTATCCAGATACCCAGTTTACTACAGATTTCGGCGTCAAAAAGCTCGGGAGTGTCACGGTTCTCTCACCTGACACATGGAGAGGTAAAGACAGAGACATTGAAATCAGTATGTACTTTGGTGGAACAGAAATCACCGCCACAGCGCGCGATGTTTCAAGTTGAAACGTGGCCCAAACCAAAATTGACTTTTTGCATGAATAAACATTGAGATCGACAGCCCGTAATAAGTATTTATAGCTGTTTTAGATTGTGATCCTAGATAAGTAAAATGTTTTAGAATTCATAAACTTAATTAAGGCCATCTTGGAGTGAGTTAATGGAATTCATTTCAATTTACTGATAGTTTGTACGTCATGTTTGTACGTCGTGTACGTCGTTGAAATTATATAATAAAGCTTGTTTGAAAACTCATCCTCTAAGACTTAAAAAAAAGTCATAACTGCCCATGCTGCTGTCTGAAAGGGCCACTGGTCTCGACAGGGCGGTCAATTTCAGTTCCCGCCAGTAAAATTGACCCAGATATCTAAAGAAGAACCTCAATTGTAAAAGAACACAATAAACGAAATTCCGAAAAGCTGAACGGCGGAGACGAATGCGCAAAAGTGAAGACCGACTTAAACGGATTGCATTCTGATAAAACCGCTAATAACAGTGGAAAGACTTTTTTCAAGTTCGCATAAAAATTATATGATCATGCTTTATATTGTTTGGTAGCTGTGATTTTCTTAATTGAACATCTTTTGTGTAGTCAATTTGTAGAATAAAGCTCTAAGTTAAGGAAAACAAGCAAATCTGATTACGACCCAGCCCACCCAACCCAAATCAATTGAACACTGGCAGTCGTATTCTGAAGTTTAAAGTCGACTATTTTACTATTTTGTAAGAACTGGGGTTGGAAGACAAAGAATCGATAAAAGTTTACTATTTGTGCTTGATTTAAAAGTCCAGAGTGTAGCGCGTCTTTCTCTTTCCTTCAAAATAGTTACAAAAAATGAGGGAAAGCTCTTGAACATATTTTGAGGCACTTCACAGAGCTTGTCTTAAGCTGACAAGAGCAAACGTACGTTTAGCAGTAATTCTATTCCTGTTTAGATAAGTAAAGTTTGGCGAAGTTTTCCTTTGGTTATTAAGGTATGTGCTCAAAATTAATGCAATTATTGTAATTATGCCTGAGTTTGTTGTAAAGTAGTCACTAAAAGAGCAAACGTACGTTTAGCAATAATTCTATTCCTATTTAGATAAGTAAGGTAAGTTTTAATGTGCTTAAAATTAAGGCAAGTATTGTAAGTATTCCTGAGTTTGATGAAAAGTAGTTCACTTAAAGTAGTTTAAATGTAATCGTTTGGTTTGAGAGGAGTTCCGAATCTGATAGGACTGTTGTGGACAGTGAATAAGACCGTGATATCGACAAGTGGATGTCATTATCAGAAATGGAAGTGAATTGTGTATCGTCAGTTAATTAACATATAATAATCCAGTTGTTCATCTGATTGAATAAAATGGTTAATTTTTAAGAAAAATGTTGTGCTGCTTCTTTTGGGGAGTAGAACTCTACAAAGAATGAGTCTCTACAAAGAGACTCAAAAGCTAACGTTTAGAAACATCAGAACAAATGAAATAAGGGCGTCAGGGTCGTCTCATCTGTACTATCTCGGTGTGTTGTTAGTCAAGTTTGTCAGTTTTGCTCAGTCAGGCTGCAGTTTGTTTGGTTGTCTGTTTGCTAATTTGTTTGTTCGTTTCGCGGAGGTCGTGAATAAGTCGTTTGTGACGCCGCCTTGATTCAGCGTTTATTATTATTATCATCATTATCATCATCATCATCATCATCATCATCATCATCATCATCATCATCATCATCATCATCATCATTATCATTATTATTAATTATTTGTTTCTTTGTAAACGAACCAGCTTTCTACAGAGGAAGTCATTCATGTTAGAAGCGTTGGAGTGAGTACGTAACACAGGCAGTCGCTCTTAGTCAATGGGATCGTTAATTTGCGACAACTAACAAAACTGGGTTGATCTAACTTGCAATACATATCAAAGCACAAAATGTTAGAAAAAAAAAGTTTTTTTGATTTTAATATTTTAATATCTCAAGTGTCAAGAAAAGATTTCACTATCTCCTGGAAACAAACCACAAGTACAGGGGTGGGGTTCTTTAAGTATTTTTGGGTGGGTATGTGCCACTGGGACCCTGGAACCCTTCTCCTACACGAGGCTAGTTCAGTTGGATTTTGCCACCCTATACTAGACTAAACTCCGTAACCCCCCCCCCCCCCCCCCCCCCCCCCCCCTTATTTAAAATTTTTTTTTCAAAAAAAAACACCCCCACCGACCACTTAACCAAAAAAAAAAAAAATTTTTTTTTTTTGTTTTTTTGTTTGGTTATGAGTTTTGTTTTTGCTTTTTTTCTTTATAATTTTTATGTATTATGAGGTTGTTTCGTTGAAAAACATCCCGCTTCTCTAAAAAAAAAAATAAAAAAAAAAAAAAA